GAAAACTAAAAAATATATAAAGTGCACGAAATCAAAATTGGACGGATATTTAGGAAGATTGGCAGCTCGAAATTTAGAACATTTTCGGTGCCAAAATGTACCACCAAAAAAAGAAAACGACCAGATTTGCGTAAGGCAAATTAACAGATATCAGCGGGCGACGCCCGCTAACCCCGATTTTGTGCCGAATCCAACCAGCCATTTTCCCAGATAGCCGCCGAACTCACCGACACCTCCCTGGCCATTTACAAACCCATCGTCTACCCTCCCTATACGGCTGGCAAAGTTTTGGGTATATTCGAGCTCAACAATTTTCAGCTACACCTTGCTTGCGTGGGTCTTCAACGTCAGCAAGAAGTATCGTAGTCTTTCAGAGTCTCTACATCTCCTTCATGGCCCACACACTATGCGCTGTGCTTCACGTTGGGGCTCTAAAAGCTGCAAATACCACACCGAATCGTGGTATATTCCGGATGAGTGCTGTTCGTTGTATTGCGGTGCTTTACGTATCCTTGCTGGCCGGGGTTAACGCGTTTATTTGGACAGCATATGTGGAAGGGAATATGGTTGATGATCCAAAGAAGGTTAGTGAAGAGTGGCCGATTTTGAGACCCGGCTGGCTAGCCGAGATCCTTGCGGATTTGTCTCTTCGTGCATCTCCTGATCTTCTGTCAGTATCACTGGCAGTCTAGTCGCTCTTTTCGTAAAATTTTTGAGCTTTTCTAATTTTGATAATGCGTCCGACACTCGAAAAAAATTCCGTTTTGAAACTTTAAGCTACCTAAAACAGCAAAAGGTTTTTACGATCATCTCGCTTTGGATTTTCTGTATATTATCAATTACTACATGTTATGCTTTGTAAACTAACATATGTTTAACCTATTTTCTTCTAAACAAAGCGCGAAAAAGATAAAATTTCTGAAATATCAATCTTTGAGTCGAATTCCGCAAATTTTCGACGATTTTCCTCACTTCCAGGTCTGCAAAATTGCGCCCGTCTTTTGTAACGGCAGGGGTGTGCGCTACTTTCAACACCTCGAACGTCTCATCCAATACCTGTGGTTTTTTGCCTCGGTCGTCTTCTTCACCCTAATTTTCTATGTCTCCGTCTCCTATATGAATGCGAAGACGTACATTTCTATCAATTCCAACCCGACCTTGAGTCAACGGACTCGTCAGATGCACCGATATTTCAGCCTGATTTTTGCCCTGCAGGTGATTTTACTTTTTCGTGTCCAACGCCAAATTTTTTGTCAGTCTCTCATGGTCGTGCTATTCCTGGTCCTTCCGTTTTTCGGTTTTCTAATGGTCTATTTGAATTTTTTGGACTGGGAATGGATACTAGCGAGTACGTTTAGTACTAAAAACATTCTTTTTTGCTTAGTGGTTGGTCTAATAACACTCTGGAATGGGCTTCACAGCCTTGGAAATAATTTGGCGGTGCTTTTGGCGACAAAACCGTATCGAAATGCAATATATCGATCGATATTGAAGGTCTATAAGGTAGGGAAAGTCGTCTAGAACCATATGGATATTTTTAGAAGCTAAATCCATGCGTGGAACACGAAGCTGATCGACTATCTTTATCCCGATTTGGCCAGCCGTCAATCATAACCATCACGAAGAGCAGATATACCAACCGAGAACATCATTTTGTGTGTTAAAACAACAAATAAAAAATATAAGGAGAAAAACAATAGATAAAAAAGGGTTGGCAGTCGCCTGATCGAAAATCGCCTGATCGAAAAATCGCCTGATCGAAAATCGTCTGATCGAAAATCGTCTGATCGAAAATAACTAAAAAAATTTAGGGTTTTTTTAGGCTTCTAAGATGTGTTAAAACTACTTTTGAGTTATTATCGATTAGACAATTTTCGATTAGACGATTTTAGATCAGGCGATTTTTTGATCAGGCGATTTTTCGATCAGGCTATTTTCGATCAGGAGATTTTCGATCAGGCGATTTTTCGATCAGGTGACTGGGAATCATAAAAAAGAACATGCTAAAAAAGCAAAAAAAATCCAATTCGTCACAGTTATCGGTTCTATTTTCATCAAAAATAAAAGAGTACTTTTTCGTGCCAAGACCCTTTCCGTGCTATTGGACTACTGGCGAATAAGCACCTGTCTAATAACCCGTAGTGGCAATGAAAATCTTGCCTAAACATCATATTTTGGTCAGGCCATAACATTTTGGTACCGCGATTCGTATTTGGCTAATGTTTTTTCCGTCGCCAGACGATGAGCGGTGGATCGTCGGGTTCTATTATTTCTTCTGGAGCCTGGGGGCATTGTCTTTTACACTTACCGTGTATTTTATTGTCCGAGGAAAGGCCTCTTTAACGAGGGAATATAGAGTGGCACAATTGAATTTGTTGGTAAGTCGGTCCGAGTCGGCTAACAGAGATTATATTGAGGGTAAGGTTCCCCTATCCAGGACAGCAAAGACCTTTGGGGATTCAGACCATCTATCACTTCTAGATTGCCGCCGAACTCACCGACACCACCATCGCCACCTACAAACCGATCGTCTACGCGCCGATAACGGCCGGAAAAGTGTTGGGCATTTTCCCGCTCAACAATTTTGAGCTCCACCTGGCTTGTGTAGGTTGTCAGCGTTGGCAAGGAGTGCAGGGTTTTTAGAGTCTCTACATCTCCTTCATGGCCCACACCACATGCGCCGTGCTTCACATTGGGGTGCTGAAAGCTACGAATACCAGTCAGAATCAAAGCATATTCCATGCGAGCGCAAAGTACTACATTGTTCTGCTCTGGTTTTGTCTAATTTTTGGGATCAATACGTTCATTTGGACGGCCTACGCGCAAGGGTTAATGATTGATGATGCGGAGGAGGTTAGTTTTCTGGGGATTGTGCCTTTTTAAAGGCGCCAGGATATCTTGTTTTTTATGGGATCGGCAAAGCGGTGTCTTGGATGTCCTTATAATCTATTACACACTTAAAAATATATAACCCTGCGTCCCTGTCCAGCGCTGTCAAAACACTTTTTTCATTTGCGCCCCTTTCATAAAAGATACCTTAAGTAAGAATATTTCTAGGGTCAATAACGTTTTCGTTTTCGTCCGCGTGGCGTGTCGCGGCTGTGAAAAAATCTATTTCCTTAAAGGGGCTCCGAACTGCCAAATCAAAGCCCTTTTGTGAGGCCTCTTTGATTTTTGGCAAATTGCCAGCGGGCGCTGCGGGACGAGAGCCCTCACTCTTTCGATTTTTGCGCAAAGTTGTTTTTGCCCGGTTTCTTTGTGAAAACACTATAATTTGCGCATTCTGAGGCCATTTTTGAAATCCTCACTCAATTTTAAATAGTTTTGGTGTTTTAAGCATCAAATTTGGCCCAGAAACAGCCGAGAACGTGATTTCGAGGTGACAACAGGCAATTTCAAATTTGCGAGCTTCCCGGGCCCCTAGGTGTACAGAGGCCTCCGACGTACAGGTCTTCGATTTTCGGGCCGTCACTCAATTTTTGGCATTTCGTAGCCCCTTTAAATGTTGCTTCAGAGAGAATTCAATTCGCTTCCAGTCTTTTTAGATGCCTTTAAAAACCCAACGTTCCAGATCTGCCGTCTCGAACCCATGTTCTGCGCAACCGACGGGGTCCGCTACTTCGAACACCTCGACCAGCTGATCGTGTACATCTGGCTGTTTGCCGTCCTGGTCGGCATCATCTTGGTCTTCTATCTCATCGTCTGCTACATGAATGCCAAGAACTTCCTGGCCATTAATGCAAACCCGACGCTGAGCCGCAGAACCCGCCAAATGCATCGATACTTTAGCCTGATTTTTGGGCTCCAGGTGTTTTTATTATTTTGGAAATTGCCAAACCCGTTTAGTCTTTGATGATGGTGGTTTTTCTAGTATTGCCATTCTTTATGTTTTTGCTGGTATATTTAAAATACGTCAATTGGGAAGTGATCATTTACAGTAAGTTAAAGAGTAAGAAAGCTAGTTTTTTCTAGTGGTTGGATTGATTACGCTATGGAATGGTCTTCACACCCTCGGGAACAACCTGGCTGTACTATTTGCTACAAAGCCATACCGGAATGCGATATTCAAATATATACGGCTGGTTTACAAGGTATTTAGGATTTCATAGAAGTATTAGAATTTATATTGCTCTAGAGACTGACACCGTTCGTCGCACCCGAATCCGATGCACTAACGCAATCGAAGATTACTCAGCCATCGATTATAACGATTACGCGAGGGAAATATACTAACAGACAGGGAAGAACAGAATTTTAAAAAGTGATATATAAGAATCTAATGGTACTTTGTAAGCTTCTTTAAACATGACATCATCAAAGGCTTTAAAATATATCAAAACACTCGACATTCCAAGACGAACATTTTGGTAGACGGTATTCCTTTATATGTAGGCTAATTTGGAAACGAGATACAAAGGTTGGGGCCGGGTGGGGCGTTAAACTGCACACTTGCCCCCAAAATCTGAAACAAATCTTAACAGGTTTTAAGGTACCCTCGACATCAATAAAAATCCATAACTTTCTTCAAAATAAAAATTAAGCTATATACGTCTAAAGAAATATTTTGAAAGAACCGTCAGCAGCAGAAAACTGATGGATTGAAACGTGCAAAAAATAGTAATAGCTTCGGGTTGATGATACGTCACCTCGATCGTGTGGGCGGTAAAAATCGAAAAAGGGCATACTGGGCCCATCGCGCGATGAGTAATGGTCCCCACTACCCAAACGATTACCCACAAATACCGTTTAATATCCATTTTCCATCCCAGATATTTTTTCAATGCTTTTTCCATGTGAAAAATTGTAAAATTGATGCTCTATTGTATGGTATACTAGAAAGCCTCGGATCTGCCTCCAAAATTCGATTATTGGCATTTGGGTCACGTCGGGTCGCCTTTTCCGGTGCTCCACGCCGGATATATTTAATCAGGGGACTGTCTGCGTGTAGGGTGTTCATTGTATAAATAGGAATCGGACACGGAGTGGACATTATTTGGGAGATGGGGATGCACTCGATTCTGGCAGCAGTCGGACTCGTTGCTCTGCTGGGAGGTGGGCGAATTTCTCAGCTTATTTGGAGACGCTAAAACGAACGATTTTGACGAATTTTTGGGATTTTTCGCTTTCTGCTTAATTTCATAGCTTAAAAATTCAATTAAGAAACAAAAAAAAAAATTCATATTCCAGAGCTAGCGAAAATAAACAGAACCTCTCAAAAAAACCATAAACACAATTTTAGCTGCCTCAGCCGTGGTTTTCCCGACCGCCCAGCAGACGGAAATTATGAATGTAAGTAGATATTACTTTATAATATGAACCTCAGGTTAAAATTTAAATACCTCAAGTTCAGGTGCACAACAATTTCCGCTCCAACCTCTCCAAGGGCACCTACAAGGCCAAGGACGGTACCGTATTTGCCAAGGCCACGAACATGAGGCAAATGGCAGGTTTTCATGAATTTAGATGACTTCTAAACATCCTCAAAGCAAAAATATCTTGAAAATTTAGGTATGGAACTCGACTTTGGCCACAAAAGCTTCAGCCTATGCAAATACATACCCAGGGCTCAAGCACTCCGGGGCGGCGGGAGTTGGCGAAAATCTGTACATCGTTTGGGGAGGACGGTTGAATGGACTTGGTGAGTTTGTAGATGATCTTTATCTCCGCTCTCTCTATATCTCTCTCGCTTTCTCTCTCTCTCTCTCTCTCTCTCTCTCGCTCTCGCTCTCTACCATAACTCAACAGGTGCCGCTGGCAGCAACGCGTGGGCCAACGAGTTCTACACGTACGGCCCGGTCGGCTACACCTTTTCATCGAATACAGGCCATGCCACGCAGGTTTGTAGTTTGTGCTATAGGTTAATTAGTTTTATCCGCACTATTTTTTGCGCTTGAATGCATCTTTTAGATGGCCTGGGCGACGACCACTGCCGTCGGTTGTGGATACCAATATTGCACCCGCGACAAGTCATACTTTGTGGTCTGCAACTATTGGCCACCGTAGGTTCTTGCACTATGCTAATTTTATTAATTAATTCATAAAACCTTTTAGAGGGAACTACATCGGTCAAAAGGCCTACGAGCAGGGGACGACCTGCTCGAAGTGCCCCACAGGAACCAAGTGCACTCTGGCTACTGGCCTTTGTGCCTAGAAATGTGAAAGCGGATAAACGTTTTTGTATGTTGTAAATCCTGGACTCTCGCAACTAGCGACAGAGAAAGTCATTCCTAACAGAAGGCTTTTTGATCCCCGGTTTTCACACTCCAGGAAACCGTGGGAAAACAGCCGGCTCCCCTCGCGGGGACCGTGCACGTGCCTCTCCTCTTCACCCTCATGCCGAGGGAGAGCCGTTTGCCTCGCCTGGCTTAACGCCCTCGCCACGACGCGCAAGCCGGGCAACAGCCGCGCCCCAACTGCTGCGGAATGCCCGGGCGCCCGCTCTTCTTGCAGCCCGTTTTTGCTGCCCTCCGGCTACTATAAAGGAACCGTGGGACCAACCCAAATCGCTTCACCCTCCAACCGATTATCCCAACCAATTACCCATTACCACGTTTACGGTGCTATAAACCTTTAGTAGTCTTTATACTCTAAACGTTAACTAATTACATTGCAATACAATATATGCCTAGCCGACTCAACTACCACTGACAGGTATCATTTTGTACATGCATGGAAGAACGCACACAGGCGCCTATGGTCCAAGCTCTTTCGTGCGCTCAATGAACGATTTTCGAGTTCGCTCTGCTCGTAAGCCCTTTCCACCTCTTGTAATGATTATCAATATCATTAATGCTCGGCCAGTATAGTAATTTTCCGCAAAATTGGGGCAAAATCTGCCGAAAATCGATTACTTCAAGGCTGCCTGAACAGATGTGAGCAGAACTAGCCATACCGTTTTTCGTCGTTTTTTCACTTTATTCCATTTCCTCGCATGATACACCATTTATTTGGGCGAACTTGACCAAATTATTTGAACCCAAATTGGCTTACCGTACCTATTCAAGAACTACATTGCTTATTCAGTCCCATATTGGTCTTCTTCTATCATCTTGATCGCACGCGTTTTGTGCGCATCGTAATCATCACGCTGATATTAAAATTTCAGGCTAAGCCTCGACTTGTCGGTGATTTTTCCGAATTCTACGCCTTTTAAAAAGGCGCCGTCTGCACGGACGTACAACACATTGCCTAATGCCAGCATAATTAAACATAGACCCGCAATTCAGGTAAGCGGAACCATGTCCATACATCTGTATACCTCGCGTTTAGAATTTTGCCAGGATTTCTCTAACGAAAAAGGTCGACAAATCACAAATGGCTCTGGCCGGTTTGTTTCAAATAGGTGAGCAAAAATAATTGTGGAATGACCAAGTTTGGTGAATTTTCAGGCCTTGCTCGGATCGTTATCAATTCTTATCAAAACACACGATGCATGACCGAAGACACATCAAAATGAGAAAGGACAACTTTTCACCAGCTTCATTTGCCCGGGTCAGTTTTTACCCCGGGTAAAAACAGCATTATGCATTGAATTGCAAAATGCAAATTTGCAAAGGATCTGAAAAAACGCGCCGGACCCCATTCCATAATTTTCGACATTTTTCGATAAGATCACTTTCAGGCTCGGAGCTGGCACCTCGTTGAAAGCGGGATTTATCTCCAGCTGACCCACGGGTGATACTTGCTTGGTACGCTGCAACGATTTGCGCGTGGAGCTGCAGCACAATGACACGACGAACGCATCAATTCAGACGGTCGCATCGATGACCAGATTTGTAGTCTGTACCATAAATTGTAGACACTTCATCGTTTATCAAAATTGGTGTGGCTATATTACAGGAAATATTCCGCAAAAAAAAGACTGTTCGCCGCTATTTTGCAAGCCATAATTCGTCGACACAATCCAATATTTTTACAAACTTACAAACAAAAAGGGCCCCAAAAATATCCCACGATTACATCAGGTCGGTCCCAAAATTGGACCAAGTTTATTCTTGCTAAAACCCGAGAACCACTGTATCAATCTGGTTAGAACTCAGGACTGTGGTTATTTTGGGGTCTACTCTAGAATCTTATTTTGCCCAGGCAAATTGGATCTTTATATTTATATTCAAAATCAGGGCAAAGCACAGTCAAAAATAGTGCGAATAATGAAATCGTAGCTTCATGCGCTCATAGGAGCATCCTGTGACGCCAGAGGCGGCACTTCTTCTTCGGGTTCATCGGCGAATCCAGCTAAAACAGAATGAATCCGGGGGAGAAACCACATTTACCGGACAGCGAAAGGCGTTGGCGAACGGTGCAAGGTTTTGGTAGGCCTGGAGTGTAAGCCATTCGTTTAATGAACCGGAACTCGAGGCTTACAAAGTTCAGACGGTAGATCGGCTGCGGGTGAGGGCTAAAAAGCAATGCTATATTTTGGTAAATGAAGTATCGACATTTGTAATAAATTAACTGGGTAAAATTTAACTTACTCATTGAATTGCATATCATTCGGGGTCGCAGGCCCGCGCAATCTGCCGCAGTACATCTGGAACAAATTGCAAGTTGTCTATTTTTTTGTGTCTCTGGTTGCCTCTCCCGGTCTCGCTCCCTCGCTCTCTCTCTCTCTCTCTCTCTCTCTCTCTCTCTCTCTCTCTCTCTCCCTCCCTTCCTAATTCTCTCTGTTAATAACGTAATCCCGCTTGGGCGCCACTGAGGAAGAACATCTGCTCGGGGGTATACTTGGTCAACCCGGGCCATCGTGGCGGCTTACTGTCGAAAAGGCGCTTCTTCTCGTTCAGGAATGCCTATAGCTTCCGACTTAAATCGTAAACTGAAACAACACACCCTAAACCCCACTTTAAACCCGTTCAGATCGGCGGTTGCCTCTCGCAGCGAAAAGTTGCCGTGGTTCTAGCAAGGCGATATTAACAAACGTTTCAGCAAGTATTACCTGAACTGAAAAGTTCAGCCATTCATTCGCGTATATAATTGCGCCAAACTTGTCGGTCAGGCACTTCTGACGCTCTGCCATTTCGGTCGGATCGTCCGGCGGAGCCATGGATGGAAATTTGTCTAAACGGTAAAGGTTGCTTAACGGGAGGGGGGGGGGGGTGGTGGGACAAGCGCGTAGGAGGGGGGAGGGCAGAGGGGGCTGGCTGGAAAAACGTAAGATTCAAACCGAAATTTTTTCGCCTGCGACACTGTTTTTATTGTTTTCTTTTTATTTATTTTTTAGCCGGCGGTGCCGCTATTTTAAGGAAATTTTTTTTTGCCTGTGGCGTTCAAATTTCGAAAAAAATTTGACGCTGCCCCCTCCGAAACGTAGCTGCCCCTCCCGAAACTTGGGGTCAGCTGCTCCTCTGGGTGGGGGTAAGGGGGTCGCAACAGTTTGCTTAAGGGGCATATTACGGCACTCTTACCAAAATTTTTCTGTTGATTTAAAGTTTTTAATCCGTCCGAAACTCGCCTGAAATATCCATCGAATGCGATAGCTCATGGGCGACCGTGGTTCCAAGCCCAGCAAACCGGCGCTCCAGCGGCCAATCGCGCGAAAAGTAGGGGGGCGCAAAGAAGAACGAGCCGAGTTCTGAAAGCTGAACGTAAAACTCCCAAGGGCTTCTGCCTGAACTCAAAAAGTATAAAGTCAAATTCTCACCAACGGTATTGTCCTCCAACAATCGGCCGACCATCTGTGGGGCTGGCATGAGCGGACGCTAAATTCGTAAATATGCTAAGAAAATGAATCACCCCGATGGACAGCTCTGACCGGCCGTTGAACAGCACGTCGACGAAGGCAGTAAAATTCGCGCCGTAGCCCTAGGAACTCCAGGTTCAAGTACAGTTTTCCCAATGCGCTCTCTCCTTCTCTCTCCCTCCCCTCTCTCTCTCTCTCTCTCTCTCTCTCTCTCTCTCCCGGTCTTCCTATCCCTTAATCTCTGATTACAACCCTGATTCGACAAATTCAGCTACCCGGTCATAAAGCTCGTCGATCAGGGTCCCATTCGACATTTCCGCGGTGTGCCCAAACCGCGGCTGGGCGGTTTCAACCTAAAAAACACTTCCGAGGTGTTGTACGGCGAATTTTTCGAGTCCACCATTCCAATCAGGTACTGTTTCGTCTCCGGGGCCAGCCACCCATTCTCGTTCACCACATCCGCGTAGGCTTTTTGAATTGTTTTCATCAATTCCTAAAATGTGTCTGTAAAAACGGCTGTTGATGGCTGTTGACGGTTGTTTTTATCGAAAAATTAGCGCCAGATCTTCCAAAAAAAATTCGGAACTTTGGACGAATATTGTCAGTTTTTGCCCCAAAAAATTGATCTGTTTTGTGATTTTTACGGGCATTTTTAAAATTTGAAGTTTAGGATAGCAAAAACAGCTTAGAAAAACTTTTTGCTGTGAGGTTAGAAAGATGGAATCCTTAGAAAAAAAAGTTCGTTGCTACGGATTGTTCCACTCTCCAGAGAATGCAAAAGAAATGACGTGCCAAAAACGGCCAAAAACTACCAACCTTCCCTGCCAAAACATCGGCCGGATCTCGGTACCGAGCGAGGAATGCGTGGTCGACGACGTATTGGTAGGATGCAACAGTCTGGAGAAAAAAAGGCGATTTCGAAGCTGTATAAAAACAAACCCATTTAAAGCAGTTTCCCCCGTTCAGCGCCTCGACGGCCATGTGCATCTTTTTCGCCCAGGCAAGGAGGAAAAAGTTGCGCAACAATTCTTCCTTCGTCCTGTCAAACAGCGGGATCAACTGAAACTTTCAGTTGATTTTCAGTTCCAGTGTCAGTTTAAGAGTAACCGACAAAACTCTAGCACCTCCGTTTCAGACTGTCTATAGCGACTTCTCAGAAATCCCGATTCACAAAAACTTTATTTTACAACGTACTAGATGTAAAATTACAAGCATATTTCGAAAGTGCTGCTTTCGGCGGTTAAAAATGTTCTTTTAGAGGTGAAAATCGTGATTAGTCTTGGACGTAGGAAAGGTAGGGCTATGCTCCTCGTTCACCTCCTTCAAAACCTGCACCGGAACTTGCTGCATTACGACTGGCGTCTCATCCCCTAGAGCATCTAAATCGACTCGCCGCAGATGAGGGCCAATCAGCTTCCGGAAGTCGATTATCTGCCAGCCGTGAAGATTACTGGTAGAATAATACCGGGGATGTGAAAGTCTGGATCTTGCCGAACGTCACGTTTTTTATTGGCTTCAAACTTTCGGCCGCCTCGCCGATCTGGAATTCATTGGATAAGTACGGCTGCCGGTACTTTTGCGTTATCGGGGGAGCTAATTTTCGTTGAAATCGAACTCGCTTTTGAGAGAAAGATGTATCTTATATCAACCATAATAAAAACTTATATAATTTTGGCGTGTATCTTTGTGTGTGTGTGTGGATGTCAGTTTCGAGACCCGATTTGAGGGCGTTCCCGTGTTCAAAATGCCTCAATTCTTCGTCACTTGGGGGAATCGACTTTTCTGTTTCCGATGGCATTCTCAGAATTTTGATAAAATACAAGTTTACAAAGTTAAACCCGGCTTTATTCAGTTTTGGGGTCCCTGAAGGCTGATTTGCATATGTGAAAAAAATACGAATTTCCTCATTCTTGCCAGTTGCACACGCGCGTGTGGTTGGTGGGGGGTCCGCAGGACCCGAGCTATCGGAAAGTCAAATTTCTCATGCAGAGACCGCAATCCAGCGCCCAAGGCCCGCGAAGCGGGTTTTGGGCGCTGGTCATCAACTATAATAAAAAAGTAGTGGTGTCTGTCTGTCCGTCCGTCATGTCCCGGATTCAACTCGAAGGGGGAAGGAGCTAGAGCTTAGCTCTCTTCAAATCGGCCGGCCGAAATGTCGGCCGGCCGCGCGGCCCGGAAACGGCCGAAAACCCGCAACCAAATTATATTTTTGGATGCTAATGAAGGGATTTACTTGGCCAAAAATGTTAGACTGAGGAAATTAGTTAAATAATGAGGTTGCAACGGTCTAGGGTTAGACGTGATTACAACGGATTTGACGTGGCTGTTGCTTTGCTTTATCATCACTAATTGCTTCATCGCCGCAAAACGATTCAATTAAAAAAAAGTTTCAGGAAACTAAAGGCCCACTCGTCATAGAAACACCCTGACTAAATTTTTGCGTTACTTGAAACTACAAAATTGAATTCTATTTGAAGATTGCAACCTTCCAAAAAAATTCAGGGTTGACATAAAAAGCACGCTTTCCCCACATCAAATAAAGATTTTTAAATAAAATTTGGTAGCCAGGCATCCTAGGGAATAGTGAAAACCAATGCCCAAACCCATTCCTTATTTATTAAAAATCTAGAGGCGCCAGCGACACGTTTCTGTGAAACTTTTTCTCAAGTGTGAATTGTCGGCCGGCCGACGCGGCCGCGGCCGAGCCGACCAAAAAAGTCGGCCGGCCGATCGGCCGACCGGAAGTCATTTGCATAGAGTCGGCGGCCCGGAAACGGCCGATTTTTTTATGCTAATGAGGCCGTCGGCCGGTCGGCCGCGGCCGGCCGACCGAAATTGCCATGTCTGCCCAAACTGATGAAAAAATTATGAAAAAGTTTTAATTTAAATTATTAAAATTAACTTTGAAAGTGGCGCCTTAATAAAACGAGTGGGGGGCCCCTCTCCCGGCTGGCCACGCCCCCTTTCCCTTCGCCCCTCTTCACCAGGCCCTTTCCCGCGCCCAAATTGCTTTTTAAGTTACTTTAATACTTTTAATACTTTTTAATTATGCTAATTCATTATTTAAATCATTTAAAGTATCGGGATGGAATCTAAGTAGTTTTTGAAGGGGGTTTCGGCTATGGGGGGTATCTGAAGCCATCAGGAAGGTATTTAGGTAGTTTTAAAGGGGATTTCAGCCATGGGGGGTATCTGAAGCCATCAGGAAGGTATCTATGTTTTTGTGGGGGGGGGGGGATTGGATAGAGGAGATATCTGAAGTCATCAGTGTGGGTATTGCCATGAAGTCATCAGCGTAAGGTAGGGATGAAATGTGGTGGTGTAGAATATGGAGGATAGTCCGAAGGCCAGCCGATTGCAGTCGCGAAGCGGCTGTAATCGGCTGGTCTCATATAATTAACCTTGTAATTTTTGAAAACAAATATTTTGATGTAGATTTGTTTCGCCTTGTTTTGCCTTGTTTTGTTTTCTATAAAAATTGCGAAGCTGGGTAATAGAAAAAAAGAGATTTTTCGACATCCGACCTTATCAACCTTCATCTGAAAATTGACCAGCTCCTCGAATTGTCGCTGCACATCAGCGTCGCCCCACTTCACCGAGGTGCCAAGCAGATCAGCCGTGATGTTTAGATCCTAAACGTCGTCTTTGCTTCGGAAAAACGCCGTATTCTTAGAATGAGATGCCATTCTCACATTCTTTAACCGATCCACAAACTCCTCGCGTGATTCGAGGCGCAGACCGTAATCGTCCAGCCACTTAATCCAGGGTAGCATGCTAATTTCGAAACTACAATCGTGATCACTCCTTTCCGCTCAATTTCCTTCTTCACGAACGGCAGGACTTCGGCGGTGGTCATCGACGTCAGAATTGCCATCAAATTCGGGTTCTCCTGCAAGCAAATCCTTAACAATTAAACTGAGCCCAACCGAGCCATGGCCAAGTTGAAGCAACGGCAACCAGTGGAATTTGTCAACAGCATACTCACGGAATAGGCTAAAAAGTTTAAATTAACAAAATCTTAAATTCATGGGTTCTTTCGCATTATTAGTGGCAAAAAAAAACATTTTTCTAAAGGTTTCATGCATAGCAATGTAATCGTAAGTATTATCAAAGCGTTTTCAGTGAGATTTAACTATTTTTCAGGTTAAAAACCGTCGATTTTCAAAAATCCTCAAAAACGGTTCTTTTTCTTTTCTCTATTTTGCAACAAAAATCTTTGAATCTTATGAGTAGCAAAAAAGTTTCGAAATGCCGTCTCGATTTGTACTAGAAAAATGGAATCGAATTTAATGAGATCTCTACGCCCACCAACCGGCCAGTTTCCGGCATTTCCTTGAACTTCTTGCAGGCCTGGTAAAGCTGGTGCGCCTTCCCGAATGATTTCAAACCACCAGCGTCCGGATTCTCTGCATCAAAGACCGCTGAAAATGCTTAAAATTTGGCATTTTTACCATCGTACCGGATACTTTCCTTTCATTGTCTGCCGCCTCTGTGATCATCACGTCTCCCGGTTCTCGCTGAAGTAATCATTCGAGGAAATGTCAATTCATAAAAATTCCGATGTTTTCGCATTATCAGGGTGGAGAACAACTTTTTCCTTTGGACGGAATTTTCTAATTTTCCTAGAGGAAATGTTTTTAAGCCGTTTTTAAACTATTTAAAGTATAGAAAGCTTGCAAATTTTTTAAAAAAATACAAAAGTATCGTGCCTTCGACCGAGCTGCCAGAATTTCGTAACGTAAAATTTGTAACGTGTTTAGGTAGTTTTCCACGGGAAATCTAGCCAAATTTTACCAAAAAAGCTATTAAGACACTTATGACTAAGCGACTAGGAATTTCTGGACTCATAGGAAACATTTACATCCCCCACCCCATCGCTAATGCAAAAGAACCAAATTCGGGGCGACAAGGACGACGGACGGCTGGGCGAGGGGTAAACTAGCGGTGAACGGATGATACCGTTTTCAAAAACAATACCTTATTGAAGGCGCCGCAGGCGTATTCGTGAAAGGTTGTGCACGGGTCGACTGCCTTGTCCATGTTCACGAGCTGGAAACAGTTGAAGTTTCATGGCCTGCCAATTTTGCAGCTACCAGAGCAGCGGCCGCTCGTACGCAGCCTGGGGTGATGCACACATTTTGGCTGTCCACCTTAAAGCGATATTTGTTGCGGGAAAGCGCGAAATGGTCTTACGTTGTACTCCGGCTCTTGGTGCGACAAGTTCGCGATGGTCAGCAGGACAGAAGCGACTGCTAAGTTCAACGACGTGACAGTAAGAAGGTTCTTGCTCATTATTGGGCAGGGGCAGGAGATGGGTGTACCTAAAGATGCCAATTAACGTAATATTAAGTATCTTAATAGATTTTAGTAAATTTAACGGTATTTCCAAACTAAGAAAGCATCCAAGGAACTTCAACAACTTTAAAAATTCCAAATTTTGAAAGAAAATCTATAATTTTCTTATTTTTTTAAGAAAATGTGTGAGTTAAAGGATAAACGGATAGCTAGGAACCACTTCATCGATGTACCATGACCAGCATGAGTTTCCCCGAAGGAAAAG